GGAACAGTGACACACGAATAGCACGAAAGGAAGTGACGTTCCCTCAGGTGCTGTGGGAACCGGCAGTAACACTGAACTCTCCGATGGGTTTTAATCGTTTTCACTCCATTATTTTGGGTTAACAGTCGTTCACATTAGTGCTGTTTGTGGCCGCGGGCTCTTGTTTTCATTAGAGAGGCTGTAAAGGCCTCATGACGTGCTGTCATCAGCGTAAGGATGGTGACAAAAATGAAAGAGAAGGTTTAGATCATATGTGTCCAACTCAGGGCCCGCGGTCCAAATGCGGCCCGCCAAGTCATTTTGCGTGGCCCACTGGAGCTTAAAAAAGTTAAATTACCTGCTTCCGTGCTGCTGAGTTTCTTAACTTGACAAAAATATATTTCACAGAGCAGTGAACAATATTTGATACTGAAACCTGTATTAATACACTATGACTGGTTGTGGTGTGTTGTACCAAATTGCTGAGTGAATGAGTTGATGGTTTGAATGCAGAGGACACATTTCAAATGTACAACGACGATAAAGGAGATTCCTCTTCCTCTTCCTCTTCCTCTTCCTCTTCCTCTTCCTCTTCCTCTTCCTCTTCCTCTTCCTCTTCCTCTTCCTCTTCCTCTTCCTCTTCCTCTTCCTCTTCCTCTTCCTCTTCCTCTTCCTCTTCCTCTTCCTCTTCCTCTTCCTCTTCTTCTTCTTCTTTGTCTTCTAATCACTTTTCTCTATCTAATTCTTCCCCTCTCTCTCCTCTCAGGCCAGTTGATTGAGCGAGTTCTGCTCTCCTCCATGTTGAACCCCAGTGAACAGTGGCAGACGTATCGTCACCACGGGCGGATTCTCAGCCTGGAATATCGTCTCCGCTTCCGTTGTGACTCCAACTACTACGGACCGTTCTGTAACAAGTTCTGCCGGTCCCGCGACGACTTCTTCGGCCATTTTAACTGTGACCACAGCGGCTCCAAGGTCTGCATGGACGGTTGGACCGGGCATGAGTGCAAAGATGGTGAGGGAGTGAATAATATTTCAAAATGTAAAAGACAAAAATGCCTTGATTGATTTCGATCTGGAATTTATTTTAATAGAATTTTTCTCTAAATTCCAATCTATTTGTAAGAACACCGTGTCCTGCTCAGATCATATTTATAACCAACAAAATAAATCACCAGTTTTTTTTTCTAAAGGCCAGAAAGCTTTTCTCGTTTTCTCATCAATGGTCTTGGCCTGAATTAAGCCAGCCACTAGGGTACACGAAGCCGTGTTTATAGTGCCGGTCCCAAGCCCGGATAAATGGTGAGGGTTGCGTCAGGAAGGGCATCCGGCGTAAAACGTTTAGCTAAATCAAATATGCAGATCAATAAAACGATTTCTATACCGGATCGGTCGAGGCCCGGGTTAACAACGACCGCCAACAGTGCCGTTGACCAACAGGGCACTGATGGAAATTGGACTACTGTTGGTCAGAGACAGAGTCAGAGACAGAGAAGAAGAGGAGGGCGTTTGGTTAGGAGAAAAAGAGAAAAGATGAAGAATAGAAGTGTTAGTCTGAAGTTTGGAACTTTGAATGTAGGTACAATGACAGGGAAAAGTAGAGAAATAGCTGATGTGATGGAGAGAAGAAGAGTAGATATTTTGTGTGTGCAGGAGACCAGGTGGAAGGGCAGTAAGGCTAGAAACATTGGAGGAGGCTACAAACTGTTTTATCATGGTTCAG